CCTAGTGAGGTAAAAACAAAAGAATTCCCAAAGAGGGAGAGGTCTGGGGTGCTCAGAACGGAGGCATGTGGACAAGATGAGGGTGAGGGTGTGTTCGTTCTATTTGGAGCCCCTGGCAGGGTCTCTGCTGCCCCTCCCCTCCCTGGAGCCCAGGGCAGGGGCTGAAAGTGGATAAGGAGGGTGACCCTGTCCTGGTCCCCGGGGCCCTTGGTTTGCTTTCATTCCCCAAGGAGTTTGTGCTGTTGGCTGTTCTCACTCCCGTCTCTCCCACCTGGGCGCGCAGCCCACTCTGGATTTATTAGCTTGGATGGATGGAACGAGTGTTACACCAGGGAGGGAAGGATTCCTGGAAGCATGGTTTGAGACTGGATTTGGGGGACTGCATTCTCACTGCTCTGGAGTTACTCAAAGATGAAAGAAACTTTATGATGGACTAATAAGAGTCTTAACTATGCAGGTGGGGGGTTGTTTTTGTTTGTTTGTTTTTCAATGTGGTGCTTGGGTGCATGTGCATTTGGGGGCAGTGTCCCGAGCGTCATGGGCACCTACCCATAGTACTGTGCTTTGATTTCCTCCAATCACCTGAACCTGGCGAGAATCAGGTTCAGCATCTGAGTGTCCTTAGGTCACTGTATTTGGCCAGGACCTTCAGGCACCTGGTTTTCTCTGGGCCTAGGCTCTTGCAGGTCTTGCAAGGCAAGAGAACTGGCTTTGGCGGGGACGTAAGTACTTGGGGGATGGGCAGTGGAGGGACCCTGTCTCTATATCACCTATCTCCTAGGCACACACTGCCTTAGTCACCAGCTCTGCCCCTGTCATCCACTCCACTTCTGTGTCCCCCTCCAAAACCTTTCACAGGCATTAGGCCATTTCACTCTTAAAACAACCCAACAAAGAAGACAAGGTAGGTATTTCCATCCTCATGTTACAGGAGGAGAGGCTCAGATATTTGCTAACTGCCCAAAATCTGAGCTAAAAGAGTAGGCACAGGAACCAAGGTTTTAAAAAAAATTCTTGTTCCAGTTTTCTGTCCTCTGTCCCTCCTGAATTATTTGCTTTTTTCACTTGAGTCCCCATATATTGAGCATGTGTTCAAGTGGTTTTCCCTGGCAAGGCGGTCTGTTTCTCTGGAAAGATTCTTCTCAGCTGTGAAGCGCTTGTATTATGGGGACCAGCAGGTGTGTGCTGGAAGAGTCTAGAACATCCGGGAAGTACCCTGGAGATCCATGGGCCCAGATGCTTGGTTTCACGGGTGTGAGCACGGAGTCCCGGAGCAGTCAAGCCGCCTAAGCTCACATGGCCGGTTCTCAGCAGGATCGGTTGTGTAGCTCCACAGTCTTAGGCCCCTCGATTTCCACCAGGCACGCGGCTCTGGAAGGCCCCTGGTTCTGGCACCGGGGGAGAGGGGGTCAGAGACAACAGGGAGGGCAGGAAGCAGTCGGTTCGCGTCAGTCACAGCTGCTCGTCTGGCTGTGCCCGCCCCGTGCTCCTTCACCCCATCTCTCTGTCTTTCCGTTTTCCCAACCCTGAGCCAGCAACCTCATCTGCCTGCTGGCCGAGGGCTGGGATTTGTAGGCCAGGGGCTCTCTGTTCATTGTAATGAGACTGAGGGGGTCCCTTCCCACCCGGGGAGACAGCTTGCTCAGGTGGGTTGGAGAGAAGGCACTCCAAAGGGGGGAAGCTGGGGGTGGGAACCGTGGAACTGGATTAATTCTGTGGATCCAGGGGACTGGGAAATAAATCATGATTTAAGAAGACTTTCTTTTAAAAAGACAGGCTCATTTCTGGTTTGCTTCCCATTTTCCTTTGGACCAAGAAGGGAAGGCCTGCTTGTGGGGAGTGGAGGGGGTTGGTGTGATCTCAGGCTGTGCACTTAGTAGGGGCTCAGGCTGCTGTCCATCCCCACTGTCTGCCCAAATGCCCAGACCCCAAGATCAAAGGGCATCAGACCCTTTGAAATGATTCTTTTTGTTTGTATTGGTTCTAGAGAGAGGGGAAGAGAGAGGGGAAGGGAGGGATAGAGGGAGTGAAACATCGATATGAGAGAAACAGCGATTAGTTGCCTCTTGCAGCACCCCGGCTGGAGGCCGATCCCACAACCCAGGCGTGTGCCCTGACTGGGAATTGAACCTGTGACCTTTCGGTTTGCAAGATGACACCCAACCAACTGAGCCACACTGGCCAGGGCGTGAAATGGTTCTTGAAAAAATTATCCTAGCAGCCAATACCTTGTGAGCGTTTAGTCTTTGTGGGCTGAGGGTCCCCCCTTCTCTCTCTTGGGGTTTTAGGGAGGGTTCTTCTCCCTCTCAGATGGCCATCATCTTCTAGCATAAGGGTTGACGAGCCAGTAGCCATGCCTAGCCCACCAGACGGTTTTGGAAATAAAGTTTTATTGGCACACCGCCCATTCACAGGGTTGAGTAGTCTCCATAGAGACCATATGGCCCACAAAGCCTGAAATACTGACTCTCTGGCCCTTTACAGGAAAAGTTTGTCAACTCCTATTCTAGCAGAACGAGTCTTCCTAGGTCCAAGACAGATAATCTCCCTTGGCTCACCAAAAGGGGTGCGCACTTCCCAGAAGGTTTTCTTCTGAAGAACCCAAACGAAACCCAAAAGGAAGGTGTGTGAAGTAACAAAGCCAGCAGAGATGGACAGAGATGTGGGTAACCTCTTAGCTGGATTGGCCCAGGGCTTGGTGGGGCCAGATGAGGTCGGGGTGGGCCTGGCACAGCCTTGCTGGGGGGCGGCCCATTTGGCCACATCTGGGGTAAAACAGCAAGAAGTTCCAGCCACATGTGGCAGCGAGCGATGGAGTCCTGCACTCTGAACTCAGGCCCACTTGGCCAACTCGCGCAAAGCCTTCAAGGGCCTAGGTGCATCTAGCTAGTCACGACCCTACCGGGCATGCAAGCAGGGCCTGCCTAGCTCCTTCTACACAAGGAGGCTTCCTGCTGCTAGGCCAGTGGGAGGCTCTGGCCACAGAATGTTTGTCTCTGGGTGCATTCCCCTGGAGTCTCTCTACCCCCCCATTTCAACTGACCTGATGTCTGGAGTCACCTTTGGGGAGCCACCTGACAGGGGCCAGCATTTTCTTGGTGCATCCAGTATGAGCACCGCCTGGTTCTCATCCTGGGAGCTGTCGGAATGTGATTGAACCAAGCTCATGGGAGATGGTGGCCAAAGTCATCGAGCACTGGCTGTATACTAGGCACTGTGCCCAGCGCTTACTGTGCACTCTTTTAATCCTCTCAGCAGCCTTGAAGGTAAATGTCTTGTTTCATCTGGATTTTTACAAGTGAGGGAACAGGTTCAGAGAGGTTGAGTAACTTCCTCAAAGGAGCAGAGCCTGGACTTGGATCCAGACGGTCAGACCCCAGAGGTCTTAAATCCAGACAGGCTCCAGAGGCCTTGCTAAACCTCTCCCCCGGAGGCCCACTCCGCTGCTTACAGTACGAACCGTGAACTGTGGGAGCCAGCCTGCGGATGGAAGGCAGCTTGCTGGGTAAGGGAGAATCAGGTGCTTTAAATGGTGGGGGGCAAACCGAGGCACCCACAAAAGGTGGATACCATATTAGCTGTGTGACCTCAGACAGGTTACTTAACCTTTCTAGTTCATTTTCGTCGACTGTAAAATGGAGGGAATACCTTATCGTTGCAGGTTTATTGTGAAAAACAAGTGAGTTACTAGACATAAGTGCTCAGCACGATGCTCAGTGTGCAGTTAACACAGTGTAAATGTCTGCTGCTCTTGTAATTATGGTTACTGCCTATCACTGGACCAGGGAGTGGTCCCGGCCAGTGCCATCTGGGCAGTGCAAGGGTTTGCATCTCAACGTGCACCTCAGTGTTTCCTCCCCAGTGTCCCTACTGCAGCCAGCGCTGTGCCCCGTGGGAGGGGTGAGAAGTTCAGCAGAGAAAGCCCCTCCCCCTGGGTGTTCCCAGGCCAGGTTCCGTTTCTGGCTCTGCCTCTCTGTACTTGCGGGAACTTGGGCTGGTGACTGCCCCACTGAACTCGCGTTCCACCCCTGTGAAACGGGGCGGGGAAATGCATACCCACACCGAGGGGTTGTCCTGGGGAGTCATGGAGCCACTGCCCACCAGGAGCAGACTATCGGGGTTTATTACATGCTGACCCTCTAGAAGTGTTCACACTGTTGATCAGGCTAAGAGCTTTCCTCCTCATAATGATACGACATCATATCTCACGGTCAAAGGTTGTTCGAGGTGCTGTGATATCGCTTCTCTCTCTCAGCAGGAAGACAACTTTTAACCTCATTTCACAGCTGGGGAAACTGAGGCCTGGGTCAGACATGACTTCTGAGCCTGGAGTAGGGCCCTCACCTCCTCTGGTCACTAAAGGTCCCTGTCCTTCTGGGTTGGAGTTGAGGTGTGAGACTCTGAAATGAGGCATCTTCCCACTCTGCCAGGCAGGGCCTGTCTTTCCTCCTCCGAGTGCGGGGCTGGGGCAGGGCTAGAGAGACACCAAGGCCCCGTGGCTCGGTGCCCTAAGCCGGGAGACGGCCTTGGGCTCTCCAACCCAGATGTTGGAAGCGCCAGGCGTCTGCTGCTGAGCCTGCTGCCCTGGAGAGGACCCTTGGAGCCACCAAGCCCTGTGGGGCCAGCCACCCACATGGCCACAGAGAAGGTCCAGCCTGCCTTCTCCAGGGCGGTAGTAACCCATGGGCCCTGTTCCAAGCAAGGATGTGTGGGCTTCTCTGAGCTCCAAAGGACGCCTGCGTTTCGGCAGACACCTCATTATCCCTGTCCTAGCCGGCCCTGTCCCAGCGCCTCTGTAATCACTCCAGCCCACGCCCAGCAGCCCGCCCACAGCCAGGAAATCACTCCCCTCCCCTCCCCCACCTTCCGCCGGCGGCTCTACTGGTGCCCGAAGCCACTCACGCCACTCGCCACTCACCCGGGGACCTCCTGCCTGCCTAACGGTTCTCTCTCCTCTGATTCTCCTCTCCCGTTGCTGCTTGCTCTCGGGGACTTGGAAGTGTGGCTCTCCAGCTGGGCTGAGTCTCCCAAAAAGGACGTGACAGGTACTGCCCCGTGTGCATGTGAGTGCATGTGTGTGAACATGTGCGTCCCAGGCATCCGTGTGTGGAAGCCAGTGCTGCCGGCCACTTGTCAGCATGCCCGGCATCCTCTCTGCCTTCCCTTGCTCCTCTGCTGCCTGTACTCTGTCTGTCTCTTGACCCTTTTTAAAAAGGTCTCAGATCCAGCCCTGGAGCCTTCTGATGGGCAGTGACCACACAGCTCAGTGTGTAAACAAATGCACTCTAGACCCAGAGCATGTGGGTTTGAATCCCAGCTCTGCTGTGTCCTGGGCCTGTGCTGCTTTGGCTGGGGTATTTAGCTGCCCTAGGTGGGCACCGTGCCACCTCATGGGGGGCCTGGCACACAGGGTGCCCCTATCATCATCTTGGAGAATGAACTCAATTGGCCCCTCCTGTGAAATGGGCCGCAAGCATTGTTAATCTCCCTCCAGGCAGGCAGTGACCTCGAGGCAGAGCTCAGAAGCCCTGGGTCCCAGGGGTCCGCACTGGAGTGCCGCAGGGGGCTGCAGCGGGGCGTAGGTGGTCCTGAGACTGTGCTGGAGGCCACCACCCCCATATCCCAGGGGTGCAGAGCCAGGAGCTGCCTCTGGTTTCGGGGGGCTTCCCAGGCCCAGGGTGGGCCCCAGAGATGTGGGCCTGTGCCCTGCGTCTCTCTGGGCAGAGCTGGGCCATGGGTCAGGGGCTTGCCTTTAGGTTTTGAACTTCCTGAACAACTGCAGAAAAACCTGGACAGCAGGGTTCTCAGCTGCTAGAGGGAGAGCGTGGCAGGCAGATGATAGGGTTTCCAGGAGGCTTTTCCAGGAGCCCCTCCATTTGTTTATCTTTTCTTTTCTTCTTCTTTTTTTTTTTAAAGATTTTATCTATTTATTTATTTTTAGAGAAGGGGAAGGAGGGTGAAAGAGTGGGAGAGAAACATCACTGTGTGGTTGCCTCTTGTGCACCCCCTAGTGGGGACCTGGTCCACAACCCAGGCATGTGCCCTGACTGGGAATCAAACTGGTGACCCTTTGGTTTGCAGGCCAGTGCTCAATCCACTGAGCCACACCAGCCAGGGTGAACCCCTCCATTTCTGAGAGTGCTACCTGACCCCCCTTCCCCATTTCCCCAGCCCAAACCTGAGAGCAGGGGTCCAGCCTTGGAGATTGGGGAATAAGGCAGAAGGGTCAGAGGTCAGAGGGAGCTGGGCGAGCCCCAGGCTGAGCCCCTCCCAACCACAGCCATAGGCAGGGACTAGGAGATGAGCATTCTGAGGGGGGGCCAGGGCAGGAGGCAGCAGTCAGGAAGACAGACCCCTGGCCTGACCCAAGGCCCTAGCAGTCCTCCTTCTGGTGTTGCCTCTGACGAGGGCCTGGGCCTGAGCTAATAACTGGGCTCCTGTCCCTTTTTCCCCTCTCCTCGAGCCAGTGAGCCGGAGCCCACTTGGCCCACAACAATACATTTTATTCACCAAACGTATAGCCTGGCTGTCCAAGGGCTTGTGGAGAAGCCGGCAGGCCGAGTCTGGCCTGGGAGGAACCAGTTGTGAGGGATAGAGGGACCTTGGCAGGATGCCCAGAGTTTGGGGGGGGGGGGCAGTCACAGAACGTGTGGGGGGCGTGGGGCAGGGGCCACCTCAGGGTTTGGCTTCTCAGGAAGAGCCCAGCTGTTGGGAGCAAGAGGCTGACGGGAGGCAGTATTGGCCCCGGGAGAACCAGCCAGACTAGGAGTCTAGGGTCGAAGTCTTGGGTGAATCACCAGGTCTCCCTGGGCCTTGGTTTCCCCATCTGGGATGTTGGAGTGTTTGATGAGACAGGAAACTCAGAGGTAAGGGCTGATGCTGGGATCCTTGAAGGTGAGGGTCCTCGGGTTGCTTCACCGGGTACCCCTCCCCCCAGAGCGGGCCTGGGGGTCCTGATCTGGCTCTCCAGAGGGCAGGTGCCTGCTGTCTGCCAGGAGGGTCCTGCTCCAGGGACACAGCCTCAGCCACCCTCTCCTGGTGCCTGTGGCCCTTGCCTTGTGATGCCTGCTGGTTCTGAGGCTGCAGAGGAGACTAAACCCCTGCTTGCTCCCCAAATTTCCCCTGCTATTTGCTTTGCAAACACCGTTTACAGTTAACATAGAACATTAACCCCATCACCTCATACCATGATTGGAACACCGCTGTGAGGTAGGTGCTGTGGCTGTTCCTGTTTACAGATGAGGAGGCTAAAACTCGGAGGGGCTCAGTGGCCCCCTGAGGGTCCCAGAACTGGTGGGGCCAGGGCAGGCCTGGACCTCAGAGCCTCAGACTCCACGTGCTTTTGCACTGAGCATCTCAGGCAATGGCCGAGTCCAGTGTCGGGTCCTGTGGCACCTGTCCTGGGGCATCTGCTCTCATCAGGGAGGCTCTCGTCTGAAACACATGGTCTGGCTGGGCAGCAGTGACCCCCAGAGAATTCAGTGAGCACAGGGGCAGGGAGTACGGCTGGAGTGGCCAGGCAGCTCCAGGAGAGCAGACAGTTGGGGGACATGTGGGGTTGGTGGAAAGGGAGGCCTGCCGGGAAGGGGGAAGAGCTGCAGCAAAGGCTTGGAGAGAAACACCTGCCAGATCAGTGTGGCTGGCGCAGGGCAATGCCCGAGGCATAGGCGGGGAGCGATGGACGTTGCCTGGAATAGGAGAGTGGTGTGACAGGGAACTTGTGGAGTTCATATTGTCAAGAAAGACTGAACTTGAATTTGGCCTTTATTCCACAGGCCACAGGGAGCCACTGAAGGTGTTGGAGCAGGGGACTGACTTGGCAAAAGCCTCATTTAGAAGTTTAAGTTGGCAGCCAAGACTGGGCAGGAGCCAGGGATCCATCCAGGTGGTAGCTGCAGGTGTGCGGCAAGGGTGGGCAGAGCCTGGGAGCTGCCGGAATCCCCGCAGATCGAGCCAGGGGCTCTGAGGAAGGCACCAGGGCCCATCCTGGATGAGACTCTTACAAAGCCCCTTTCCACCTTGGACGGAGCTCTCCTCCCCACAAGGGTCCAACCCATCTCCATGCCTGTGCCAAACCCTTTCCATCAGAAGGCAGGAGTCTCCCTCCCCTGCCCTCCCCTCCCTGGAGCCAACTCCTTCAGCCCCTAATTTTCCAGGCCTTGGCTGGGAGGGGACCCAGCCTCTGAGGGATGACATCACCCACCGGCCCGCCCGCCCACCCGCCGAGTGCTTTCTCATCCAGATACCTGCTCCCAGCTCACACCCACCAGGGCCACCCTGGGCAGGCAACACCCTTAGGGGCGGATGCCAGAGTGAGCAAGCTGGGAGCCTGCATGTGCTGGGGGAGGGGAGGGCAGCCAGGAGGGCGGAGTGTCTGTGTGTCCATCTGTCCATCCCCCGGCCTTTGGAGTAGCCTCCCAGAAGTGCCACCACCTGTCTTCTGTGCTCTGGAAGAACATTGCTTTAACTTTTCTACCTGTGTCCCAGAGAGTTGGTCTTCAGGCCCAGGCCAATATTCTGAGGGGCTGAGGGAAAGGAGTATGTAGATTTTTCCCCTCTTTGAAATCTTGTCTCAGATTTCCTTGGCTTGGATTGCAATGAGCTGATGTCTCTCCATTCCCCAATACCCCTCCCTGCCTGTCCTCTCCGGCAGCGTCTGGCCCCTTGCTCCTCTGTGCCTCTGTTTCCCACCTCCCCTTTCTCAGTTCTGCGGTTTAGTTTTTTGGTTTTCCCACAGTTCAGAAGTGAGGCTCTACCTGGTTTGTCTGTGTCGGCTCAAAACAAACCCTTAAGTCACTGTATTCATCCGCCTGCCTGTTCATTCATTTTACAAACAATGCCAACCACCTACACGGGCACCGTGGTCTGGTCAGTCGATGTGACAAGAGTCAACAAGGAACCCACGTTCCAGTCTTTCTCAAGCACCAACTGTGTGCCAGGTGCCCGGGGGTAGGGTAAAGCAGGGGCCCTCCTTGGAGACCAGGGGTCAGGGGCTCTCTCTGTGGGCCAAGCACAGTGTACACGTTCAGAACACAAGCTCCAGTGTCAGTTGGGGTTGGATTCAATCCCAGCCATGTGACCTTAGGAAAATCCCTTTCATGAGCCTCAATCTGCCTGTGTGTAAAATGGGGCTGAAACAAGACCTACCTCAAAGGCTTGTTGGGAGGACCAGCCCAGACAGCGGGATGGCGTGGTTGGCACTTGGCGTAATGCTGCCCACGAGTGAGCACTGATGAGGCTTGTGGTTCATTCTTTGGGGTAACCCGGGGGCTCCCAGGACTTGGAAGCTGTCTAACCTACTGCTGGGCAACTCCTGTTTGTATCTTGAGTTTTTCCTTCCCCGTAAAGTGGAAAGGCAGTTTCTGTTCGTGCTGGGTGCACGTAAGAAGTGCTCTTGGCCACAGAAGCACCGATGGTCCCCCAGGGGCCCAGCAGGAGGCAGCTTCTGTCAGCGCTGCGACTGTCCTGCTGGCGGGGGCGGGTGCAGCGCCGGCCGTGTCTGAGTGCTGCCCAGCTGTGGGTCACGCCTCTGCCTGAAATGCCATCCTGGGCTATGTGTGTGCATGTCCCCGCGGCGGGCCGCAGCTGGGATAGGGTCCCTCCTGCGTCTGCAAGGGGCTGAACTGGATTTGCGGGGTCCACGCCTGGTGGGAGACAACTGCCAGGGTTAGTGGGTTTCTTTCCCCTTTGTCACCCCCACCCTAGGTTGGATAGGTCCTCAGTCATGGAGAGGCCCTGAGATCTAAGTTGTGCTTCTCCGCCCCTGCCCCCCCCCCACCGGCTGTAAGCAAGATCCACGGGAGAAGATGGGGTGTCTAAAACGCGCCCCAGAACAATTGAATCTGGATCTCTACGGGTGGGGCCCAGGCAGCTGTACTCTTTAAAGGCGACCCTGGGCAGTTTTGTGGGACTGAGCTGAGGATCATTGTGCTAGAAGGATGGGGTGTCTGAAAACAGAAAGGAGGCCATTGTGTAATCCAAAGAGATGGGCTGGAACCTAAAACACAGAGAACTTGGTTCACCCCTCAGCAGCTCTGTGAGCCGGACCGGCCTCTGGGCTTCTCTGGGCCCCCAAGCTGTCTTCTGTGCGATGGGATGCTGAGAAGGCTGTTGTTAGGGTAACAGTGTCGAGCCCGCACAGAACACTGGCCGAGTTAGCCTCCGCATGTAGGGAGTGTGACTGCAGGCTGAAGCACCAAGAAACTCTGGATGTTTCTGTATCCAGACTGGAGGTGTGAAGCCCACCGCTTCCAGGAGATTAGCACATGCGTAGAGTAGGAGAGGCATAGTTTGAGAAGGGCACTAGGAATTCCTTTTGGTCTGGGAGGGCCTCCTGTGGGAGGTGACCCGTGGGACTCTGGCTTGTATATCCTTTGAGCTCCTTGCAGGGCATGGAATGTCTTTGGTGTTTTTTCCCCACCTCCACCCTAGTGATGGTGACGGTGACGGTGACGGTGATGGTAATAGTGAAGCACAGAGACGTTTAAGCAGCATGCTCAGTGCCACATAGCCAGTGAACTGAGATGGGTAGCCAGTCTGTCCACCTTCTAGTTCGGTGCTTGCTTAACGAATGTTGCACTGGTCCCGTGGCTGAGGAGGACAGAGAAGTTGCCCGCTCTGTGGGAGCCTGCCCTCCTGTTAAGTCCCACCTCTTGACCCCTCAAGCTCCATGAAACTGCCAGAAAAGGGCGGCTGCAGGCCCCCAGGAGCCTGGCCACACACCCCAAGGCGTAAAGGCAGAGGGAGACTGAGTCAGTCTCCCGCAGTTTCCCGGTAGCCAGTGGGCAGCGGCTGTGCCAGGGCCCCCTGCAGAAGTGGGTCTGGGAGAGCTGGCCTGAGGCTGCTCCGCGTGTGCCAGGCCCTGGGCTCGGTGGCAGCACCCTGCTGAGCCCAAGGGGCAGGCAAGGAGCCGAACTTGAGGAAAAGTTGCAGGAGGGGGGGGGGTGCAAGCTGGGCTGGCCTGCCGCTGGCTTTCTTCTTGGGTTTCAAGTAAACAGTCCCGGCCCTCCTCCCCCTCCCCTGCCTCCACCCCCGGCTCCTCATTCGATGGGTCTCATGTGTTTCTATTTAAGGGTTGCAAGTAAACCCCAGTGATTGGCGGCCTCAAACCTTCTTGACTTCTCGCCTGGGCCCAGGCTGCGGAGACAGTCTCTCCCGCTCTCTCCCTCTCCCTCCTGAGGGGAGGACTGCTGACTCTTTCTCTGGGTTTACAGGGCTTGGGGGAGAGGCAGGAGCCCTCCTCCTCCCCTTGCCTTTCTCTCTCTCCTCTGCTCTGGCCTCAGCCCTCATGGGCCGCCCACCCGCAACCCTCCCCTCACACCCCTGTCGCCCAGGGGTCTGGAGAGACCACGTCCGCCCCAGGCCTCTCCTCTGCCTCCCTCGTGCTGGGCTGTGACGGTCTCTTCTCAGCAGCAGGCTTTTCCTCTGAGCTTCCTCCCTCTCTGTCTGTCTCTCTCCTGCCCACACCCTCCCTCTGCCCCCTGGCTCCCCATGTCCCCCGGCCCCCGCGGTGCAGCGGGCCGGTGCGGGGCCTTGCTATATGGCCTGTCCTTGGGGCCCAGTGAGCCGCGAACCCTGGCTGCGGGCAGCCCCTCGGAGCGGCGCTGGCGACAGAGCAGCCTCCCCCAAGGCCGATGGACAGGGGGCGCCCCGGCCGCGGGGCCATGGCTGGCCGCTGGCTCACCGCGTGCTTTCTGCCCTCGCCAGGTGCCGACACCAGTGCCGAGCCCATGATCCTGGAACAGTACGTGGTGGTGTCCAACTATAAGAAGCAGGAGAACTCAGAGCTGAGCCTCCAGGCCGGGGAGGTGGTGGATGTCATTGAGAAGAACGAAAGCGGTGAGTGTCCGGGACGGCCACTCGGGGCTCCAGCCCGGCTCCTTGGGTGGACGGCTGGTTTTTGTTCCCTTCCTCCTCCCCCACCTCTGCAGCTATACGTTATTTCCATCTGGCAGGGAGAGGGCTGAGGAGGCTGAAGTTTCCCCTGTTGGTTTGGGCTACAGGCCAGCAGTTTGCCTGGTGGTGGAAGAATGTCTCCACCGCTCGGGGTGATTAACCGGCCTGCGTGACTGCAAGGCTGGGGTGGCAGCATGGCTGTCACTGTCCAGCCCACACTCAGGGTCCCCGAGTCCTTTGAGGCCCCTGGGGAAGGCAGCTCCCGGCTCAGGGACACCCAACAGCAGCTTGCCCCATGGGGTCACATTAGCAGCCAGGGTCCAGACAGGGCTGGGGGAAGTCAGGCCGGCCGTGCTGTCACTGTGGGGTCCAGGGTCCTCGGGCCCCTGGCGTGTGGTCTGAGGAAGGGCCTGGCCTGTGGGGGTTGGCTGGTGTCTGAGCAGTGAGCTGACTGCCTCCTGCCGAGCTGAAGGCTGCCAGGACCTGGGAAGAGGGCCCAGACAGGGGGGTGAGGCCAGGTCCCGGGGCCAGGGAGGGTCCTGCAGCAGCCGCCCTGTCATTGGGAGCCGAGGCTTTGTCTTGACTGAGGCCGTTCAGGGGGCTGCTGGTCCCCAGACCTTTGCCCAGTGGACCGAAGCACCTCAGTGCCCTGGGCACAGGAGTCTCTGGAGGTGGAGAGCGGAGGCCAGTGTGCGGTGCAGGGCCCAGCAGGGCCGGGACGACTGGCCCAGCACATCCTCCAGCAGCTTGCCCGGGGTCTGCTGGCTTGAATTGGCTCTGTTTTGGTTTCAGTTTGCTGAGCAGGAAGGGGCATGCCCCGAGCCTCTCTGGGATGGGCTTAGAGGATACTCCTGGGGGAGGGGCCTATTCCCCTTCTCCTGTCCCACTCACCTCCCTCCAGTATTCTGAGCTCTGAAAGGAAGGCAGACCAAGGGGTGGCTGCACCCATTCTGGAGATTAACTGACACACAGAAGATTTGAGGGGGCTGAGTGATCTGAGGTTGAAAGCAGAACAGAACAGGAATGTTCCTGGGTCCCTGAGTCCCCTACTTGCGGGCAGCAAGTAGCTATAGGGATGCTAAGAAAATCCCGGCGGGCCTCCTGGGGGAGGGGCACTTAGGCCGTGATGCCAACATAGACCTGACTCATGGCTCCTCCTGGGCTTGGGGGTCTTCAAAGCCCGTTCCCTTCACAGAGAGGTCGGGCTCTGCCTTTGGGCCTGGAGTCACCGCCAACAGCCATGTCTCTAGTGTAAAACCTGGGCCTTTCACCCCAGGTGCCCCCACCGGTCTCCTTTCTGCAGTTTTGCCTTCAGCCTTTGTCCCAGTACCAGTCCTCCCTCCCCTCCCCCACCCTCTGCCCCAGGGAAGCTGCATTGTCACAGGGACCTGGCCCTGGAAACCCTAACCACCCAAAGGAGGGGATCTGTACTGGTGGAATTGGAGACACCAGCTGAGGAGGGAGAGATGTTTGTTTTGGAGCTTGCTCCAAAGAAAGGCAGGCCCACTTCTCCGTATAAGGTCAAGTCTGCTCAGAAGTAGAGTTCTGGCTTAGGGACCCTTCTGCCACCTCGCTGCCTTGGAGCTACCAGAGGAGTAGGTACCAGGCATTAGCCGGGATGGCTCATGGCGCGACCCCAAACAAAAGGAAGTCAGCCTGCTGTACGGGAGACTGCTCCCTGATTCCCAGGGACAGGTGTGTCCTCTGCCATCCCAGCCCACATCCCGCACCCTGGGAACACAAAGAGTCCTTCTCCAGAGCAGAGGAGGAAGAGGGTGGACAAAGTGGGGGTTCTGGGTTAGGCCTGGAGGCGGCATAGAGGGGTCTACTCTTCTGAAGAGTTTGGGTGGCTGTCTGAGGGGCTCAGGCCACCTGATGGCCCAAGCAGCCCTGTCTGGCACACCGACCCTCTCAGGGAGCTCTGTCCCTGGAAGCATGGTGCAGCCCACCGCCTGCTGGCAGGGTGGTGTCAAGTCCCTTAAGCCCTCTGAGCCTTAGTTGTCCCTTCTGTAAATTAGAGATAACCAGGTGGCTGCTTAGAAGCAGGGCCCAGAGAAGATGACCTCTCTGAGCCCTGTCCCAGGTCTGAATTCCATGGCTGGGGGTCAGGTTGGGAGAGCCTTCCAGAACGTGGCTTTTCCACTTCTCTGGGTTTTGTACCTTTACCCTTGGTGGAGACGGCTGCTCAGCGCAGATGTTTACACAGGGACCTTGCTGTGCTGTGTTTACCGTGCAAACCCACATTATCTGTTGTCATTAAAAACCAGGCCTGGACGGTACAACCAGCTTAACCAGAGAAGCTAAGTGGGTGGAGGGGAGAAAGGAAGAGGGCCAAACTACAGATCCCTGGGTGCGTGGTTTCCCAGTTCAAGGAAGCTGGATGTCTGGTGGTGGGGGAGGGGAGGTGTGTTGTGCATCCTGCAAGCTGGCTTTGGAAGGAGTGGTGAGTGAGGCTTTCGAACTCTGAAACAAAGACCCAATTGTGATGCCTTTGACCTTGGGACTTGGTGAGTGTGTCGAGCCATTTCCACTCAAATTGTTAGGACAGCAGTTCCAGTTTATACCAGTCCTGCTCCCCCATGCACACCCCCAGGGCCTCAGCTTGCTCACTGGGAGCCAGGACTCTGCCCATGTCCCCTTTTTGCTGGGCTGGAAGTTCCTTGAGTAAAGTGTCCGTAGAGGGATCCAGCCACCTGCGGCTTCACCTGCTGATCAGAGCCCTCTGCCCGGGACCTTAGCCACCGAGCACTCCAGAGCCGTGGTTTTGCCAGCACTCTCTAATATTACTGGTCTGAAGAGAGATGTGTCTGAAGGACAACCGAGAGCCAGTGAAGAGTAAAAACCAGGTTTCAGGCCACATACTTCACATGTATCATTTACTGCAGTCATGGAAAGACCCCATGAAGTAAAAGGCACTTTAACCATTTTGTGGCTAAAGTAACAGGCTAAAAGTTTAAGTCATTTCCCTACAGTCCAGTAGCTGAGATCTCTCCCCTCCGAGGAGGATGTGAGAGTGGGCTGATCCCGGGTCGTATCATCCCTGAGCTGCTGATGCTGCAGGTCAGGGGAAGACAAGAGCTGGCGGAGATGACCGTGTGGCTCCCGGAGTGTCACTGCAGAGGGTTCCCCTGTGTCCCTCCTTCCAGCATGGTACTCGTAGGTAGTGGGAAGTCATGCTGTTAATTGTTTCTCTGAATTTGAGGACAGCCGAGAGGATGAAAAGAGGAGGATGTGTACTCAGCCCTGAGGACAAGCCTATTCCAGGGGACATAGGTGGACAGAAGTCAAAGACAGTTCAAGCGAGACCTGAGTGGCTTCAGGGAAAGCATTTTTTTGATCAAGCTGTGGGCCAGGGGCCCAGCCAGGAAAGGGTTCCTTTTCTCCACTGATCAACAGGGACAAATCTAGTGGAAAGATTCAGTAGTTTTGGTTTTGCCAGCCACCAAGCATGCATCTGCCGTTGCTGTCTTGTCTTTGGGAACCCCTCCCTCTTGACATAAACAGTGGTGTCAGAGATCTTCCTTTGTAGGACATTCTTATGGCTCGAAGACCAAGGCTTCACCTTGCGGTAGGCACAATCTGCTCTATTTTTTATTTTATTGACTTTAGAGCAAGAGAGGGAGAAAGGTGGCAGGGGGAGAAACATCAACTTGCTGTTCCACTTATTACTACATTCATTGGTTAATTCTTGTATGTGCCCTGACCAGGAATCAAACCCGCAACCTTGGCCTACTGGGATGATGCTCTAACCAACTGAGCTACCCGGCCAGAGCAAGACATAATCTGGTCTAAGTTCTGGCAGAGTGGTGATGGCAAGGTCCCAGTTGCTCTGATTTCTGTGTTGAGCAAAGCTGCGTGCAACATTCCAGGATTGTTTCTCTCTCAGGACAAGGGGCCAAGGAAGGATGTGCGGATATGAGTCAACAGATGCTCATTCTTTTCCTGCCTTTCCTTTTCTGAGTCTTTGCTTCTTTCCTGGCACCAGCGCGATAATGTTGGGAGCCCTTATGCTTCCCTAGAGGCACATGGCTATACGAGCAAAGACCAAAGCATGGAGCTGGCCAGCAGTTTTGGGCTCTGCTGGCCCATCCGGGTTAGAAATTGTGCAGGTGAGAAAACAAAACCTTGGACAGACATCCACTCAGACTTGCTCGCTATTAAAAAGATTATTGAGGATTATTGAAAAAATGCAACCAAATCTCACTAAACCCAAGGGTGGGAAGTCCATCCCAGCTTCACGGGGCCAGGGAACTGAGAACCAGAAAGTCCATACTAGCCAAAGCAGCTTCTCTTGCCTCTGTCTCTCTCGGGTACCGTGTGGGTTTACAGCCCAACTTTGGATTTCGTCTAGCTGCAGATCAGCCTTGCTTCTCTTCCTGTTCACTCGGAACAGCAGCCTGGTCTGCCTGCCGCAGGTTTGTCAGAAGTAGACTCTGCGTGACTTCTCAGTGGAGGTAACCAACTGACAATGACCTCTGGTTCTCTGAGTTCAAAACTTGATGTTTGAATTCTATTGGTTCCTGACCAGCCAATGGATTGACAGACCTTAGATCTGGTGTCCAGTCCTGGCTTAGGCGGCTGTGTCCAGGAAAAGTGCCATGGGGCATAAACGTGGCTTCCTAGCCAACTTCTTCAGCAGCGGCTGTTGGAAGGCAGGTTTTGAAGAAACGAGATACAGAGGGAGTGAGGTTCCCCAAAACCTGTTGGCTGTGACTGTTTTGCTTACTTTGCCATGGTGTACATAGTGGAGAGAATCAAGAATCAGGAGTCTGAAAACTAGGTTTATATGCTGTAAGTTGGAATCACTTAATTTGTTTCCTTAGGAGTATAAGGGGGCAGTGATACATACTATGTGCCCTTAAAAAAAAATATATATATATATATATATATATATATAAAACCATTCTATTATTTGACATCTATCTTTATCACTGAGACAAAGC